ATAAGGGTGTCCAGGGACTCCAGGGGATTAAACGTCAAATTAATCATTATCAGCTAAATACCACAATTAATTATGATTTTTTAGACAATATTGCCCAAACTTAGTGGGAACTCCGAGTTGGAAAGTGGGAGAGTTCAGAATTCAAGATGGCAGCTACTCACCACAACTCAAACTCTCTTACTTTTAATAGTATTTCTRTTTTATTTATTCCACAGTCAGTCATACACATAGTACTTTTCAGTGTTTATAAGAGGATGTTTTAAAATGCTGTTTCTATGCAGGAAACACYAGGTAGAGCTCAGTTATTGTGTGTTAGCGGAGCTCAGCAATGAGACGAGGAATGTGACAGTGGTTCTTCTGGTCAGYACATAAACAGAGAGCCATCTGTGTCCAAATTTCCTTCCATGAGTTCTTTGACTGTCTTTATAAGTTTTGTTGGAACAGTTAGCACACTTAGTTAGAACAGTTACTATCTCGTTTATGTAGCAACCATTAGGAGAAAAGCAAAAACAGAGCTTAACAGGCGAAACCCTTCGAGCATCGTAGGGGTTACAGCAAGACGAGCAGCACAAATAGATCACAGAAAGTCTGAAGGAGGATAAACATGTTGTGCTTCTGCACTTCATCATAAYTGCACAGTTAGAAAATCAGATAACAGTAAAAACAAATAACTTGGGATCTGTTGTGCTGTGTCTAATGTCAAAAAGCTAAATTTAGTTTTGTTTCTTTTCTTTATGAACCTCAAGTTGAGGGTATAAAAATGAACTAAATTCCTTGTGTTTCACTCTAAATGCACAAGACGGTGTGAGCTAAATTAGGCCGAATCACATTTTCACACTGCTGCCTGCAACAATGAGTCACGGCCGTGCTCCAGTTCGCATTTTCTTCATGTCGTCGTCACGGTTCTCTGTGAGGGAACTCAGAACGGCCCGTCTGCGTGGAAGCTCCAGAGCTGGGTCTGTGCTCCACACAGAGTAAACAGCACAGTGTTAGTTTAGCCGGCACCGCTTATTTAGTGAGGAGCTGTTGCTTTAGAGACAGGACAGCACTTCCATCACTTCGCATCATTACAGCCTGCAGTTCCTTCCTCGGCATCTGCGCTCAGCCGGATCGACGCTAATGCAGCTGGGAGTGAACATTAAAAACGTTAGAGTGCCTCAGAGCTTTAGCAACATTAACAGAAGACACAAGAACAGATAAGTTAAAAAATAGATAATAAAAAGAGGCAAATGCTGGCAAAACCCAAAGGAAATRTTGATTTTTCTCCTCCTGTTGGATGCTTTGAAAATGGACTTGCAGATATGATAGTGGGGAGTAAAAAATAAAACAGCTAATCTTAACTAATTAACTAAACGAGCTGCGTGAGGAAAATTTCCTTTTGATGCAGTATTTGTACAAAGTGGAAGCACAAATCATTTTTGGACCATTCTGTGCAGATGTGAAAATAACAGTCTGAGCTAAATAGGGTCCAAACTAGGGCTGGGCAATACGGCCCCCCAAAATATCAGATTTTTTTCGTCTCAAATTTGTTTTTCGATCTTTATCGATTTTGCGTCCCACTTAACTGAGTTACAAATTTGATGCTCTCCTGCTTTTTGTAGCAAGAGCCTTCAAACAGATTTTGCAGTGACGTGTTCGTTGCTACAAGTCCGAGGTTCCAAAACCTAACCAGCTCCAGAAAACTGAAGAAACAGTGTCTTTTTTGGAAGTAGATCCTCTTTGCTAGCTGCCATATTATCATGTCGTGTACCAAGCGTCTTGAGGGACAAGTGGGGTGACCTCTGAATTAAAGAAGCCCCAAAGAGTGCACTGGTGGGAAAAAAATATTGATTTTCCCAAAATTAAATCTTTATAAATGGCAAATTCGAATTAATCGGTTAAATTGATTTAATCGCCCAAGCCTAGTCCAAACCAAGTATTAGTGGAGACAAGAGCTGTACTACAAAAAGCTGTGCCTAGCAGCAATCTCATTACGATATTGGAGATTTTATTAAATATTTCACGCTTGACATCGTATAAAAGGATTGATTTGATTTGATTTATTGATTCAACGGGAAAAGATTATTAAAAATCAAGCCTGACTCAGCATAATTGCTGTTTTACAGCAGGTTCCTGTTCTGCAGCACATAAAACACTCAGAA